TTTCCTATCCTTTACAAACTCAAAACTGGAATGGCTTTCCCTTTACTGCCTGCCCAAATTTCTATAGTGGTGGCCAGGATGTATGAGGAAGTTGAATATAATGAATAAGGACAATAAAAGTCCAGTTAGTTTAATGTAGAAGCTATAGTACATACGAATCAACTCGTCTGTTAATGGCTCTCATTAATGGACAGCGTAGGCGTCTCTTTATGTAGTCACGGTTCAAAGGGTTTTGCTGGTTTTGCGTTTCCATCTATGTATTATTTGGGAATCTAAATATGTAGTCTATTTCTAAGAAACTCAAGGGATAGGCGTAACTAAATTTAGCACCAAAGGAATAAGTCTAGACATTGAGATGGTCACCTCCGTAAGCAAGAGCACGAGACAGACCCATCTTTTGTTTGATCTGTGGAGCTGGTCCCCTAGTGTCTACACTTAGAGCTCACAGATGGAGATACGTAGGTATACTCAGCTATTAAGGACAGGGAAAGAAGAGGGAAGGTGTAGAAAATCCTTTGCAAGACAGAGCAAGAAAGATAAGCAATTTCCTAACAAAGGGTTAATTTTACTTTGAGCATTTTCAGCCTTATGAGAATTCCTATCAGAATTAATAATTAAAATTATAGTACAGTATCTATACTAATGAAATATTTTGACTGTCATAACAATAATCTGTTTTAATTTTAACCTATAAGGACTTACAGCAAAAGTTATATTCTATTAATGTCAGAATAACAAAATTTATTAAAAGGAACCACATTTATTTTCTTTATAACTCTTGGTAATATTTATTTATCCAATTATGCACAAATTTCATACAAAAATATTATTTGATGAAATGTTTTTTCAACTTTTATAATTGTGACATTATATTCTGTAATGCATGTCCTCATTTTAAAATTAATATATGGAAAAATTGCACTCTTTGTTGGACAGTCCCTCACAGAAGGGCCACACAGAAGGGATCATGTGCCTCGTGTGCAGTGTAGCACTGACGAAACACATAACTATCCTCCAGTTCTTTAATAGCTCCTCCCTTACTATTTTGGTCTTAGTTTTACCTCACTAATCTTGTGAGACCTGGGTATATTTATTTGTATAATTAAGATCGTTTGGTGCATGAAATCCAAGATAGATACTACACTTCAGAAACAGGACCCGGAGTAAGGATTCCCTGGGGGTACAGGAAGAGGGGGTGAAGGGGTAACTGATAGCAATGATGACTATATAAGCCGCTCAAGAGGAATGAATAACAGAATTGTAGGGGACCGGATACATTGGATGGTGTAAGATACAGCTAAATAATAATAATATAATAATCATGAGAGTTCCTGGGGAGTAGGGTGGGGCGGGGAGGGGATAAAGGAGAGTTGATATCGAAGAGTTCAAGAAGAAAGAAACTGTTTTGAAACTGATCGTGGTAACAATTGTACAATACTGCTTGATGTGATTGAACTATGGAATGTTAAGACATCTGTAAGAGCTCCCAATAAAAGGATTTTGAAAAGAAAGAAAGAAAATTTGCTGTCTTCTGTCCATTTGTATTTGGTATTATTTTAAAATTTGTATTTAATAAAGTATGATTTCTGATGGTTCTGAATAACATGCCATTTGCCAATTGTAGGTTGAATTCATATTAATCCATACAGTCTAATGGTTATATGTGCTCAAATAATGAGTATTAAAAGCTTTGATATTCTAGACCAGGGTCCTCAAACCTTTTAAACAGGGGGCCAGTTCACCATCCCTCAGACCATTGGAGGGCCAGACTATAGTTTAAAAAGAAACTATGAACAAATTCTTATGCACACTGTACATATCTTATTTTGAAGTAAAAAACAAAACGGGGCAAAAACACCCGGCAGCCCGGATAAATGTCCTCGGTGGGCCACATGTGGCCCGCGGGCCGTAGTTTGAGGACGCCTGCTTTTAGATTCTTTAGGCAAATATTTTTAGAATGGAATCTTTCAGTCATGCTTCATGTATGTTATTTTGGATTTTCCTTTTGAACAAAAATAAGAAACCGATTTGTATGTTTTCATATCTGTAAATTAATTGCCTTGACTTCATTACTGTCTTTGTGATTTACTGGAAGAACCCTGAGATTTAGAGTCAGAGAGTCTTAATTTTAGTCCATCATTTGCTGGTAACAACTAGGCTGGGTAGCCTTTAAAAGTATTTTAATTGCCATATAACTCACATATCATACAATTTGATAGTTCAGTCTTAGTAAGAAGATTTGTGCAACCATCACTGCGACACGTTTCAGAACATTTTCTCCTCATACTCATTGTTTGCTCCCCATTTACCCCCATCCTCCCCTGTCATCCCCCTAGTCAGGACTGTCTCAATAAGTCCCCCTATCTGGATTTCATATACAGAAAATCAGTCAAAATAGAAATAGGAAGCAAACGCACCCAACAATGACTAGACCGAACAAAAGCATCAAAGAGAAAGCAAAAAATATTAAAAACTGACACAACTGTAAAATGGGTCCAAAGGAAAATCAAATGATTAGGAATTACATCGTGTTTCTCTAATTGTCCCCTTGGTGGACTCCATGCCTTCCGTCTCTTTCCTTTTCCGTTCATCCTCAAAGGTTTTACTAGAAGGGTTTTTAACACACAGGTTTGATCCTATCACTCCTCTGCTTAACATTCTTCTAAAACTCCTTTAAAAACAAAACAAAAACGTCTTAAGATCTAGAGAGTAAATATTTTAGTCTTTTTTGGCCACGTGGGCCCTGTCAAAATTCCTCAGCTTTGCAGTTGTGCTTGATGGTAGCATTGGGTTTAGATAAGTGCTGGAATACTGACTGTAAGGTCAATCGTCCAAAGCTGTCACAGCTGCTCGGTAGGAAAAGGATGAGCGTGTCAGCTCCAGCTGCTCTGTGGGAGAAGGAGGGCTGTCTGTCTACTCTCAGAAACGCACAGGGCAGCTCTGCTCGGTGCTGTGAGTTGGCATTGACTCAATGGCAGTTAGCTTGGTTTGGTCTGGTCTGCTCCTGTAAAGATTTACAGTCCAGAAGCAATCGGAATCACCTTGCTGGCAGTGCGTTTGGTTTTGATTTGACAGTTGTAGCCAGAAGGCAATCATAGACAATATGTGAATGAATGGGTGTGGTGGTGGTCCACTAAAACATTATGTACAAAACCAGGTAGATGACCCGGGACCATAGTTTGTTCATTGTTTGATTCGTGGTACAGAAGGCTCTCTGTCTTTCCACTAATCACATTTATTACTGTTCTACCTAGTGTCTTACACTTTATTCAGAAGCACCATTCAATTTCAACTGTTCTATAACCAAGTATTTAGTTCTTTTGACTCAGTGATGTTTCCCATGACTAGTGAAATGTTCAAATAGTGAATTATTATATTTGAAATAATGGTTTCCATTTATAAAAATATAATTATCTGTTGCATCCTGATAACTTTGTAAATGGAAGGTTAAGTCCAAAGTTCTGTTTTCACCACAATTGCACCATCCAATTATAGCTGGGAAAGCAAACAATATGTTGTTTTAGAATATGAATTATCTAGCATCATGTTACTATTTAAACCCTAGTAGATCACTTGGTGTGTTTCCATATTCATAGAAATAATAATACAACTTGAGGATATGTTATTAAATGTATGAGATTTTATCATTTTAAAAAACATAAACATTTGCTGGTGAGTTGAATCTTACTTGTGTCATTCCTTTGTGTTTCAGTATAAAACTATGGTTTTCATATTCTTCTTTGCTCCAGTATCAAAGCTTTTATAAAAATTTTTTTTTAATTTTTCATTGTAAATTAGGTGGGGATTTACATTTCTGATCATCAGATTGTGTTCAACACTTTAAATCACCCTCTCCTTGATTTCACTTCTCCCTCTTATGGACTGGAGGAGGCCTGGTGGTATAGTGGTGATGCATTAGGCTGCTAATCACAAGGTCATCAGTTCAAAACCACTAGATTCTCCTTAGGAGGAAGGTGAGGCTTTCTACTTCTGTAGAGTTACAGCCCTAGAGCCCCACAGGGGCAGTTCTTCCCTATCCTCTAGGGTCACTGTACAAAGGCATTGACTCGATGGCAGTGACTGTTTTTCAAATTGATTTTCTGTTGTGGACTTCTATTTCATCCAAGTTAACATCCATCTACAACTTAGCTCTAGCACATTGCTTTATCTTCCTATTGGTATGAAAATCTTTACCTTGTGGTTTGTTTGTTATCCCCAATAGTTGTGATCTTTTGGAAATAAATCACCCTTCTCCCCAGGCACTTCTGTGTGGATTCCAAAGGCTTACCTTTTAAGTTACTAACCTTACCCTAACCCATTTGTTTCACTCGAGGGTGAAAAATAGCACTTAGATATATTATTACTGCTTGGTACAATGTTGGGTAGCAAACAAAACTACTGTATTTCTGATCTTTAAAAATGAAAGAGCTCAATTCTGGCATCGTGTTAATGAGAAGTATAATTTGACTATGAATGTGGAGGGAAAGTAGATTGGGATGGAATTTTGTGAAGATATGCCTAGATATTACATTTTAAAATTTTACTTTAATAAATCACTTATTGGGGCTCTTATAGCTCTTCTAACAATCCTTCCATCCATCCATTGTATCAAGCACATTTGTATAGATGTTGCCGTCAACATTTCCAAAACATTTTCTTTTTGCTTGAGCCCTTGGTATCAGCTCCTTTTTTCCTCTCCCTCCCCCATCCTCCCACCTTTGTGAACCCTTGATAATGTATAAATTATTTTTATTTTCATATTTTACACCATCCGCTGTCTCCCTTCACTCACATTTCTTTTCTTCCTCTAGGGGTGGGGTGGTACATTGGCTCCCCCTTTTCCCCCACCTTCCCCCTACCCTTATGGTAGCACTCCTATCATTATTGGTCCACCTAGATATTAAATTTGACTATCAGTAAGTCCTCTGAATTTATTGACATTTGTAAAAATGCATGAATTAAAGCTAACCGACTTTTGTCTTTTTTTATTGTCTTTTTAGCCGCCAGCAGAACAGGCCAAAGCCAGACTACAACTGGTTCTTGAAGCTGCTGGTGAGTGTTGATAATTAACCTTAGTTAAATGAAAATAGTGACAATTAAATAAAGAGAAAAATTCCTCTTTTTTCATATGTCACACAAATTTACAACATCTAAATTATATATATGGCTATATGTTATTTGAAATATATATTACCATAATGTAATGCTTAAAGGTCATTCCTTAGTATATATATATATGCATACATAAATATACACACACTAAAACCTGGCTCTGGTTTTAAGTTTTTATTATTATTTCATGAAAACAAAACATCTCTACTCTTTATATGGAAGAGGTTGGGGAGGCAAAGAGGAATGATTTGCTTTGAATCTCCTTTTTTTTTTAATGGCAATTATAGTCAACATTGACATATGCCCTAATTCATTCCTATGTGATTTCCCTCAGGTTATCTATGCAAGCTACTTAGTTCTGCCATATTTTAAGACAATTACTAACCATTGCATTTTCTTGCTGCATCGGTCTATTTTATTTCTCAGTGGTACAATAATGCTATGACTTTGATGTTAGACAACATACTTAGATTCATGTAGCACTAAGACTTTTTTAATGCCTTTTTTAACATGTATAAGATCTATGTTACCTTTCTAAGGACTGATTTTATTCTCAATCTTAATATGGTCTTCAAAAGGTATGCAGTTATTCAAGCAATAGGTTGTTCTGAGAAAGCTTGAGGAAGAGTTAGAACAACATCCCCACAACAGGACATGTTTCTTACAATTATTACTTTCTAAAGATCTGTAAAGAACTCATAATTTCATCTGGGAGATTAAAAACTCAGTCTTAATATCAAGAGTAGCACCAGACTACCCAAATACTATTATGAGTTACAGCTTTAGTATTCATTGGTTAAGAAAATACATATGTGTATTGATTCAAGGCTCTCTCATACTAGCTCTTTGCATTTCCACCCAGAATGTCCACATTGTAAAGATGGAGAGTACTAGAGTGGATGAAAAACTCAGGCTAGCTTTCTGAGTCACTCAGGAATGACTGGCCATGTAAGGAAGAAGACTACTAAATGTTTTCATTGTGATCAGGGGTCTTCACACCCATCCGCACTCCTTTAAAGATTACTTACATTTTATGTATTAATCTTACTAATTTTATCTTTGGTTACATAGAAAACATATCTTTAAATTTTTCTTGTTACCAGGCTTATAATTTTTGACTTGAGAACGTAGAATAAAGCTACGGTTTATTGTTCTGTAGGTTACAAATCATGGATTTATTATTCAGTGGAATTTTGCTTTAAAAAAAGTTTCCAGCTCATAATTTAAGTATTGCCAGGCTCTTGCTTTGAAGAAAATATTTGTGTTGTCTAGTTACCTAGAAAGTATATTTTTCCATTAAGGTAGTTATAAGAAATTTTTGTTTCGTAGTTTCAGAATGTTATCTTTTCACATGACTCTGAAGCGCATTATGGACCTGCTCTGCCAGTCCCCACCTCACAGTATATAACTTGCTTATGTTGGTCACAGCTGTCACCCCTCATTTTTTAATTTAACTCTCTAAATTATATTAAGGATAAGGCGCTAGGTTCTGTGAATCTGAGGAGCATTTAAAATATTATGACAGTTTTCAAATTAAAAATCTTATGTTGGCCTAGATAAGAAAAGGATAAACCATAGATTAGACAAAGCTATTATTTATTCTTTACTTTCTTATTGAACATTTTTGTTGTCTCCAGCTTTCCCTATTATCATTAACAGTATAATGAACAACCTCTTGCATATCGCTTTTTCTGTATTTTAGATTATTTTCTTGGAATTGATTACTATAGAAATGTGCTTATATTGTTAGAGATAATATTAGAGTGACTTTTTGTATTCCTCCATTTTTACCTCAATTGTTTTATAAAACTACGAGGCCACTACTCCGACTGGTTAATTTGCTATTTTTTACCAGACTCTGCTTTTGATGCCAGTTTCTTGAATATGTTGTTTATAATATGACATACCATATGCCACCACTTTTGAAAAACAGCCAGTACTGCTTTTAATGAAAATTTGTGACTTTGGAGTGGAGAAGCAGACAAATGGATAGAATCTAATCACATTGGTAAATAAAGAATTTACTGTGAACATTCCAGCATTATGATTCAGAAAGGAATAAAGGTATTAGAAATGAATAAAATAAAGGGAGAAAAGGAAAGAACTAGATTCCTAGTCTGTGAGGTTTGTAGTCAGTCTAGTGAGACCTTGGCGTGAGGGGGACCGCTAGCTTGTAGGAAGGTCTGTGTGTCCCTTCTGTCACTCTGGAGCGGACTTGCATTCCTAGGAGAAAGCACCCTTCGTTTGGGGACTTTAAAAAATTATGCTCAGGAAAGACCTAGAACTAGATTTGTCAGAGCAGGATGTATTCTGTGCTTAGTGTAGTAACCCAGTAGATGTGTGGTTCTTTTCCGGTGCTCCAGCGTAGATCCTGACTCACAGAGACCCCCTGTCACAGAACAGAGCCGCTCAGCCGGGTCCTTGGTGCCGCGGTCTAGCCGCGGCGGGGGTGAAGGGCCCCCTGTTCAGTGGGTAAGGCGTCGACGAGAGAGAGAGAGAGAGAGAGAGAGAGAGAGAGAGAGAGAGAGAGAGATGAGCAGAGTCGGGAGTCAGTGAGCATCTGCTGCTTTATTATAATTTTAAGGTTCTATTTAAACAATATTTTTTTTGACAATCATACATTCAAAGCGAAAAGAAAAAAATTCTAATATTAAAAGGTGCAAAGCATAGAGTTTTCCAGGGCATTCTGTTTAATCTTCTCAGAACGTTCTTTCTGAGTGACTGGTTAAGTTTTCAATCTTGACCAACGTACATTGTGATTAACCGTAGACATGAATGGTTCTTGAAATAGGTCTGTGGTAA